ACCAATAGAGGGAGCACAAACCCAAAACCCCGTATCTAAAATCCCAAACACAAACCATCCCAAAACAGCCATGAATAATAATGAAAGTAATAACAATAAGTACATAAACATAAAGTCACTGAGTCATGGTCGCAGGACCATGACAGAAACAACACTCCTGAGCTTTTTATGCTGCAAAAGAGTTTTATTTCAACCGCCTGCTGAGTATGTACAGGAGAACAGTTTGTACATAAATAGGCAATAGTTATAAATATCAGCAGTTTGGCTGGTACAAAATTAAAAAAGAAGATATTGTACATTATCTACAGGAGAAGTGCCACTTTGGGTTTTATGTACAGCTTTGTCTCTGGGTGGATTGTCCATGTTAGTCCATTCACATGTTACCTGAGCTGCGTTGCACATGCAGCCACAGCGGCGGGTACACAGTATGTGTCCGGGGTTGGGAAGAGAGGGGGGCGGGATTTGTGGCATTTGGGCAGCAGCAGCAGACTTGAGGTGGTGGCTGTGGTGGTACGAATGGTGGGTGCAGCTTCTATCATAAGCCTATTGAAAGAGACAGGATTATTGAGCTGGGTGTCTCCCTGCAGCATGATGGCGTTACTTTAAGTCTAGAGGGGATTATTAGTTGCTGGGTGTCTCCTTTAGATATTACAGCGCACACTCACGGTCACACGGCTCAATCACAGAACCTGGAGCGGAAAAACACACACATATATCCGTCATGACCAGTAATGGCACCGGGTGCGAATGCTATTCAGCGGTTAGTTTGTTTATGAAGCACACTGCGGCTATGTACAGCTCTGGATGTGCAGATCTGACAGCATCGAGTCCATTCTTGCAGTTTTAATCGCCAAATAAAAAAAAATCACTTTATGTAAAGACAGTAAAACTGCTGTCACTTGTAGTAGGTCCTCACACCCCTTCTCCGACCACCAGCGCAATGAAAGAAAACACATGGAAATCCTTTTATTCTAGTCACAAGCACGACTGCGCAGACCGACACCGAACACGGCGACAACGATGCTCATCAGTCTCCTGTGAGCCGCATACGAGCATGCACAAAGTGCCCGCAGAAACAGATTTCACCGACAGCAGGTGAGTCACGATTGGTCCCTGAAGGCTGAGCTTACACATTCAAACGAGCGGTGCAGACCACGTGCAGAGAAACCCAGCGGTACAGGAAGAAAATAAACAGGGGGAGGGGCTTCAGGTCGTTTACCTTTTTTTTGTTTGTTCAATATTTCCAAACCCCACAATCATCTCACAGGCATTCAGGCTCCTGCTGCTACTTCATTCCAGTGCAATATCGCCCTCTTGTGTGCTGAGCTGGTAGTGAAGGTAAACTGTTACATCATTACATAATTTACCTTCAGAGCCACAAAACCGCAAAAAAATAAAAGAAATAAAAATCACACAATCTGAACAGCACGAGCATATTTTTGAATGTGCAAATGTCCCTAAAAAGTACATAAAACCACTAACTCTTTATGTTGACGTCAGTAAGATGAGAAAACGGGATGAGTAAAGCTAGACTGTGAGCGATACTTTGGTATTTCGACCTCCTGGGTGAAGGTTTGGGCAAAGTTGAAGTTTCTTCGGCACCGCCTGTGTCTGGCATCTACATACAGTAACTTCGAGCACAGTCTTCACATTATTTTGTTTTTTTCCAAAGCATCATCATCATCATAATCTGTGTCTGCGTGTGTATAGCATCGGGTCAATGCACACTGATCTAAAACAAGGCAGATTAAAGTCAGTGCAACGTGCAAAGTTAAACTTAAGGAGCATGGGTTCATAAACAAAACAATAAAGAAAAAAGTAGGCATAGAATAAAAGAAGAAGAAGAAGAAGAAGAAGAAGAAAATACATCAGAGCAGCACAATCTGTGACCTTCTCCGGGGAGGGAGGGATGGCTTTCCACGGGGAGTTTATACTGAAACAGTGCAGACATAAGCAGCACTACGGTGAGCCGAGGAGGACCGGGGCTCCAGAAAATCTGCACCTGCAGGACTCACAGACTCACTCGGAGCGATTTCTCTGGGAATATGCTGATTCTCAAGCAGCAAAGTGACCCTTTTCAATGCTGACGCACCTTTACTCCTCTTACCCTGAATAAGGAAGAATTAATCTATAAAGAGCCAAACCAAATCACTCCCTATTACAGACGGCTCCTGTTTTGTTCAACAAACCGTTTATTCGCCTTCTTGCTAAAAGTTTTGATGATGCCCCTCTGATGTCTGTACCGTGAATATGAAGCTAAGGATGTTTTCAGTCAACAGGATGCCAATCAGGTGTATTTATTTAAACAAAGGGGATCTATCAAACATGTTAGAGCAGGGGTAGGGAACTCCAGGCCTCGAGAGCCGGTGTCCTGCAGGTTTTAGATGTGTCCTTGATCCAAAACAGCTGATTTAAGTGGCTAAATGACCTCCTCAATGTCTTGAAGTTCTCCAGAGGCCTGGTAATGAACTAATCATTTGATTCAGGTGTGTTGACCAACGGCTCTCGAGGCTCTCGAGGCCTGGAGTTCCCTACCACTGCGTTAGAGTGACGTTAGAGGGTAAAATGTAAGAGGGGTGTCAAGGTTTGAGCTTGGCCCACTGCCTCTCAGCAGGAAGGCGTGCGTGATCTGAACCTCAAAGAAGGATCAAAGAAAAATAAAGGTCATGTGTTGAAAATACAATCCCTGACCGAAGTAAGACCTGAAGCGAGGCGTTCACACGAGGAAACGCGCTGCAATCTCAGAGTCTGAACGCTCCTGTACGGAAGAATGGGCTAAAAACCCCTCCGAGTTGATGCGCAGGACTGATCGATGATTACAGGAACGCTTAGCTGCCTTTACTGCTGCTCATGGGCGTAAAACCTGCATACTGACAGCACAGGTACACCTACTTTTGCCTCACACACACTGGAAATACTGGATGGTCAAATTTCCGTTTCTTTTCTCTAATCTGGTTCTTTTCCAACTTTTCGAATGAAAATATTTTTATTATTACAGCAAATTCCTGCAACTCGATTATCATTATGTCCTGTTATATTATGTTATGTTATATTGTTTAATAGAGATAAATCAGATGCAGGTAGATAACTTTACTGTCTCCCGGCTCCACCTTTGTTTACAGTAAAGACATCAGAGTGACACTGATCTCATCCTCTCTCTCTGTCTGTGGAAGAAAGCCAATAAACACACTCCCCAAACTACTCCTCTGACTCCGCTCAGAGTTGTTGTTGGCACGCTTTAAAATCGATCATCACATGCTGGTTTTCCTCTGCCACTTCGCCAACATTTACAAAGTGCAAAAATTCAAAGCTTCTTCCTGCTCGTGAGTCGGATGCTGCGGCTTTCGAGCCATCTCAGGAGAAGGAGCGAGAAGCTGTATGCAGGCCTAGAGGCGCGGCGGCGGTTCAATACTGATGAAGGTGTTTTACTGCTGATGGACACTGCTGTTCTTTTGTTTGTTTGCCGAACTTTTGTTCCGATCGCCAAAGGAGATCATCAGCTCACGATTACAGGTCGCTGTTTAAAAAATCGATTTTTTTTCCTCCTCCCTCAAAAGTTCAACAGAAAGCCTTTGAGAGTCAGTCGGCCACCGAGGCTTGCTGTTTTCACAGAGAAGGCTTTTGGCACGAAGAAGTGGCATAACTCTGGAAACTCAGAAACATGGCTTTCAGGTCCAGAAGCTGAGGCCGAGCCTCCGCCCGGCGCTGCTCTCTGACACGATGACGACCTTCCTGCACAGTGCAGAGACGCTGGGGGGGGGGCGCTCTACCCTGGATCCGGCCCTCAAAAGGTCCAGAGGACTTGTGCCTCATGTCCTTCCATAAAAGCAGGCCTAAAGTCTCTGCCCGGCTCGGTTTGCCCGCTTTCACCCCGTCATGGGTTTTCTTCACAGCGTGGCCAGGATCCGCGAGAAGGATATGACGACGGAGAGGGTGGTCTGGCCCACGCCGAGCACCAGCGCCTCCAGCGGTGCCATGCCTTTCCCCGCCACGCGGTAAACGCCCGCCACAGCCGCGCCTGAGGGAGATAAAAAAAAATTTAAAAGTCAATGTTAATACAAGATCTGGCAAAGACAAAGACACACACACAGCTGCCTGTCACCATTAAACCCAACTGAACATCCACAGTCAGGGGATCAGCGGACAAACATGTCCCTCCTGGTCTCGCCCTTCTGTCAGTGATGGAGGAGCGTTCGTGCATGCCTCCTCGCGGCCACACTCTGAGCGGACTCGCTGCTCTTCCTGCAGCAGTTCTCACTGCACGCTGTCCGTCTAGTCGTGAATGAGACAAACAGCAGGAGAGGACGTTTCTCTAATCCAGGCACCAAAGCCGAGTGAGCTATTTTTAAACTGCTGGATTCGAAGGCCGAGAAAATCTAAACAAAGTTTACCAGTTAAAGCTACCAGCAGCGCTCCAGCGAATCCTCCCTTCATCAAGGTTATCATATTTACCGTGTAGAGGATGCAATCTCTGCTGCTTTTACAGAAAACAAAGTGATCACGTTACATTTTTCAGTAACAGTAATGTAACAGGTCACTGTGCTATACTCAGCAATTAGATTAGAGTTATATCATGTTGTTACATGCGTTACAAAAGGCTCTTCAGTAATCTGCACGTCAGGCGGATAGAAAGAAAAAATAATGTGTGGAGAAGGAAAACCAGTATTTCTAAAGTAGCATCACACTGGCTTTAAAGTCGGAGTGTTTCTCATCTTTGCTTTGTGTTTGTATTAAAAACGAAAAGAAAAATTGCACGTGTGTCCTGATTGAAAAGAGAAAGAGGTTGGTTTCTGTGTCTAAATCTTCTGCTTTTAGTATCAACAGGGGTTTAGTGTTCAGGTCTTAAACATCAGTCTGGCACTGGAAGGTGCCCGGACCCATTGGCTGCAAACCAAGCCCAAAGGATCACGCCTCCTCCATTGTGCATGACAATAACATTTATTTGTGCTGCTGATATTATGCACTTTGCATTATTACCAAACATCTCTGATTTGGACTCATTTGTCTAAAGGACAATGTGCCAGAAGTCTTGTGGTTTGCTTAGTTGAAACACATGAAGCTGTGCCATCATGCAAACCTTCCAAACACAACATAAACTTAAACATGTAACATGTCAACTGAGGCCTGTAGACTCTAAACTGTAGCTCAAATCAGAGTCCTGGACATTTAATGTTATAGAAAAGGACTTTAAACAACTATTAAAGGCTGACATTTCCTCTGTGCTGCATGACCTTTCTTTTACTTCTACTCAGCTGCGACTGCTGCCTTTGCAGTCTCCACACACACACACACAAACACACACTGTGATTTTGTGCCGGGCTCGCGTACACATGGCTGGTGACGCTGTCAATAGTCTAGCTCACTCTGATTGCTACACATTAATAATAAAGCGGCTTTTCTATTTTTGGGGCACCAGCTCACATCTGTGACGGTGAGTGAGTCATCCACAGAGCCCTACGCTACGATAGACGCAGGTCTATTTACACACCCTGTGCTCACACTCTGATACAGTGAGGGGAAGGTAAAGGCAAATAAACAAAGCCTGGATATCAGCTTCACCTGCAGTGTTTAAAAAAAATAATAAAGTGAATATTTTTGTGTTTAAAAAATATGATTAACTGGCAGATATATCAAATTTTTAAACTATAAACTATCTGATTACTCCTGTTTAATATGATCAGATAAGACCAGTTCTACAATTTTGTTAAGGTAAATAGTTCATTAGCTTAACTTTCATTTCAGGCAATGCAGGGACATAAAAATTGGGTCCTGATGCAGAATCTGCATTCAGGAGATTAAAGTCAGAATGTTGAAACAAGCTTTCGCCCATAAATTCTTTATCCTACAGATCCCCATTTAAGGTAGCCCAAAATATTGGATACAAAATACTGATATTTGTCCTAGCTCAAGATAACATATCACACCTGGTATAACAATGAAAACAAGTGCCAGTTACTAAAACGTGCAGACAGCGAACAGATTTCCTCACCGTTTTGATTCACAGTAGAAAATAAATGATTAACGATTCCTGATTTCTGCCTTTTTAGAGTATTTTAGGGTATTTTTACTTCACAGTCACCACAGATGTCATCATGTATTATAGATAACTATCTGCACCACTCTACTGTGTTATATTAAGTGTTAACAAAGAGAGATGAATTAGATGGCCTCAGACTAATTACCCCTGGTCTTCAAGGATCCGCTGCCCCTCATTTCTAATGCAGACTTGCAGGTATCATCATTAGTGCTGAAATGTGATACCCATGGACTCTGCAGGGAACGTGACCTGAGGTGCACTGGGACTTCTTACCTTCTTACCCTAATGGATCAGTCACACTAGAGTAAAAATAGGACAGCACCTTTTTTGCGACTAGAAAAAGGAAAAGAAAAATGTTTTGCTCTGAGTGAGTAGTTGCAGCGACCAACAGCTCCTGGCCTGAGGATGCATGCTTACTTTCCACCACTTTCAATCGACTGACTGCACCCCATCTAATCACAGACAGACTTCATCTTATTGCTGTTTTATCGCTGTCTTGACACATCAAATTGTCAGCTGCGTTCATTTTGGTTGTGTTCCATTCTCCAACCATTGTTTTCCCTACTGTGACTGTAACAGCCTGTCGCTACTTGAGAATTTGTCTCAAAGCCGCCCAAACCTTAACACATTCACTTGGATGTAATGATGTAGCTCTTAGACTTGACTAAAGGAACTGACTGTTAACTTAAAGTGGGGTGGTGTCAAGAAATAAGACTGTATTTTGTTTTTTGTTTTTCCCCATTTGTTCTGAGGTTACTGCAGATATCTGATGAACAGCAACATGTAGAAAATCTGTAGATGCAGCTAAAAGTCTGCTTCAAGCAAAAGACTAAACACCCACATTTAAATCGTTTGAGCATTTGGAACAAAAAAAGGAAACACGCCGGACTTCTCCAAGCAGCTCAAAGACCAGGTAGGAGTGTAATTTGTTAACTTTATACTAGCATGTCACAGCTCATCCCCATACCACCCTAAACACGCCCAATCTCTGCTGATCTTGGCCAGGGTGGGCCTGGTTAGTACTTGGATGGGAGGCTGCCTAGCTGGGGGGGCAGTAACTGTAGCCCAGGAGGAAGCAAAGATGGGAAAGATACTGAACTTGTGCCCGTACAGAACATTACATCACTGGGATGGTTGGTTGGACCACTGACTGCTTAAGAGACAGAGTGAAAGTGGACAGTATATCCTTGATTTCTTAACATAAAACGTTGTAATAGTCAGGTGAGGATTAGTTAGAGGTCTTTGTTACAGTGCATAGACGAATCTAACACTCAGTGGTGTGAATTTAAAAAAAAATCTGAATAGGGATTTTACAAAATGTACCTTTAAATGTTCTTGTTGTTGTTGTTGTTTGGAATATCTTCAAAGTTAGTGTTTAGGTCATTTGTGTGTGTGTGTGTGGTTGGTATTTTTTGGGTGCAAACTCTTCCTACCAGCGACAACAGTCCAGCCAATCACAAAAATGTTGTTAAATTAAATGAACCCTTATCGTGCCGACACGTTGAAGTTTCCTGGGCCACATAAACAAACAGGCAGGTAAACACAGAAGCAGATTAGTCCAAAAATCTTTCTCCTCCATGTCTCTCTGTCAGCTTCTGTTTTCTTCTAGTTGACACGAGTTAACACACGGTCACCTCACCCAGCGCTCGCTCTGCCTTCCTGTCACCTCTCGTCTTCTTCTGGGTGCTGAACGCCGCACTCTGAGGTTGCTCTAAAAATAACCCGTCAGCAAGAAAACAAAAGGGGAAGTAAATGGGCTTACTAGTGATGACGCCTCCGGAGAGCGAGGCCAGGAAACCCACGCTGACCAGCACCAGGGTGATGAGGCGTCCCCGCTTGTGGCGCTGCAGCATGACTAACATGAGCAGCCCCACCGCCCCGTGGACGAAGAGCGAGGAGAAGAGACACCACAGGAAGACCCAGTACCACATCTCTGCAGGGAGAGAGAGCCAACAACACAGATCAGATACAGCCTGAAAGCACAGGATTTACCACTTACATTAAAGGTGCTCTACGTACAATTTAACTAAAGCTTTCACCAGCAGGGGGCAGTGTGCTGAAATGTTTTCTCATCTAAATGCTTTTTTCTTTTACTCGCTGAATTAAGGTTAAACTGACCACCTGCACCATCTATTATATTATAGTATTATATAAAAGTACAGCCCAGCCTCAGAAGTTAAATATCAGGTAATATCTCTCGAGCACAATGCGTAGTTGCTCCAGATATAGTATAAGTATAGCACATAGTAGTATAAGCATATACTACAGTACAGTATGATATAATGTCTTAGGGGTTCTTAATGTAACAACTGCAGCAAATAAATTATCGATTAGTTTCATAAATATTAATCAGACAATTACATTTTTTTTAGCCTGAACATCAAACATGGCAACAAATTAGAGAAATCACTGCTTGCACTGAAATAAATATTTTTACATTTTCACATTTTTTTTTATATTTACTGGTTAATAACAATGATGATGTATAATGTTAGTTGCTGCAAACATAAAGACTACTTTTTTCCTATTTGTTGGTTTATATCACCATTTTAAAATCAGTCAGCTGGCACATTAAAGTAACAACAATCCCCTATTCTAATATATATGACTTTAACAGAGTACTTTCATTTCTGGTGAAGCATGAAATTAAATATCGATCTGAGGAACAGAAGCAGCTTTCACTTACAAAATGAATTATGAATTGTTTACCAAAGAAACCATCCTGAAGCAGACTGGTCCCAGCTTTTAATGTTTTTATGTGTTTCTGACCGTTTCATAGAGTATATATAAAAGTCGCCTCCTGCTGGTCTGTAAACAGAAAGCACGTTTAAGGCTTCGCTTTTCTTTTTCTATACTTTTACAATGCTTTTCCTTGTGTTGGAGCACTTTAACACAGTTGTATTGGGACTTCTGAATATTCCTTCCACCATCATGGAGAACAAACACAGATGGATGACCTCGACACCCACCGAGGACCAAATGTCAGTGAAATCTGCCTTCAGTGGATAAATCTGTAATGGTCTCTGTAAAACTCTGGCCAAAATAACATTTGAATTCTTAGTCAGAGTCTGTCTGTTGCACTTATTGATAAATTACAAGCTTGATTTAATCTAATTACGTTTTAAAGCAGTGATCATGTCCATCCTTGATGTACAGTGATTTGATTTGACATCACAATGATCAAAACAACGATACTGGGAAACGGTGATTTAAGCCCTTGTGATTTATTTTGCCTCCTTTATTTTAGTGAAATATTACCTCGGCTGCATTTACATATAAAGGTCAGCTTTGGTTTGCATAACGTCAATTACACATGAAACTTGAAACAGGACTTAAAGACAACAGGTTTGTAACAGAAAACCTGCTTTATAGATAAAAGCTGCTTATTTACTACTGCAACCTGAACACAGACAGAAGCAGGGGCTTAGTGGGATATCTGTACATCAGCTGCTTTAATTTTTTTAACCATCTCAATAAACTTTATCCCAGCTTTCAGCAACAACCTCAGGTTATAAAAAAAATATACAGTCAATAAATAAACAGCAAATACACAATAAAAATCAACAAATAAAACTAATTAAATAAGGCCGTATTTGCATCAGGCTATCCTGCTCATCTAGACCTGAAAGAAAACAAGAATAAGCAGTTGTTTTAAAATGACTGAGCTGTACGTGGGAAGTTTGGTTGTTCCAAAAGTTAGGAGCTGCCATTACAAAGACTTTGTAGACTTTGCTTTTAAGCCTGGACTGGACTATCTGGTCAGAGGCTCCGAAAGTTCTGTTAAGGAAGGTGGCACCAAACCAATAAGGCTTTTAAAAACAAGTAAATTTTAAACTGGATCCTGATGGACAGGAAGACAGTGTAAGGAGGCCAGAAAAGGTGTGATCACCATGTTTCTTTCCTGTCTAAAGGCGAGCTGCTGCATTTCCTACAGCCTGCTGACAACGAAGTAACGACTGATCAGAGCCGACAAATAAAGAGCTACGAAAGTCTAAGAGAGGTAATAAAGCGTGAATTACTGTCTCAGAGTCATGCAGTGGTGGGAGGCAGGCCTTCACCTTACTGAGCCGCATTAGTGATAAGAAGCTCTTCTAAACAAAAGAGCTTCATGCAAACAAACGCCGACAATAAGTAATCCCGAGGGGGAAGACACAACTTATAATATTCCGTTCTAGTCTTGAAAAATTCACATTTACTGCTTATAAAGACTGCTTCCAAGATGAAACACTGCAGCTCAGCCAAGATGCAGAGCTACAGCCGCTGCTGCACGTCTGTGAGGCGAGGGGAGGATTTCAATCTACAGCAGCCACCGTCTAAGTCAAGCCTCATCAAAGAGGCAGCCGACCGTGGCGATGGACCCGTGGCGGAGATGTATAAAACCGCTCAGAGCGACATTTCAGACAGCGAGCCCGACATGAAGCGGTAAATGGAAAATCTCGTCTGAAACAATAGCGTACGGCCGCCTTTTGTGACCATCCTGACTGGAGATAAGCTTTCTGAAAAAAAAAAAAATGTAATCGTAGAAACAAACGTCTGCAAACTAAAAATGCTGTTAATTCCTAAAATGCCAGCAAAATCATCTAATTAGCTTCCACCAAACACGACTGTTCTCCTAGAATACACATAATGCACCCTGCAGGGTCCAGACTGTGCTGCCGTTATAACGGACTCCACTGAAAATGAGAACAGTAAACAGCATTTAAAAATCACACTCTTCCTCCTCCTCCTCCTCCTCGTTCTCCCTGTCTTTCTGTGGCACAGGCCAGCTTTGTCTAAAAAGGCTCCGGCTTCATTGCACTTTGCCAGCGAGGGGCCTTTGGTTGAACCCCTGGCACCGTGGGAGCCAGAAGGAGCCAGCTGGCCGTGAGATAACTGAAGAAGAAAAGACACCAAGTGAGAAAGGATGACCCAGCCGAAGCATGGCAATGCTGTCTGTGTGTGGGCGCGATGCAAACAGGAAACGTGACATTATTTTGCAGTGTAAACATCACAACGCCCAATTCTATTACCAAGTATTTCTCAGAGCTCTGGGACACGAGGACCTCTTTAGCATATCCATTTAACCGAGCTCCTCCACAGTCCACTGAGTGCCTACATCTACTTATTGATCCGGCAGGCGAGCGCCGGGCCAGGCGGAGAGAGACGTGACAGCGGAGTAACACAATGGCTTTTTGTCTTAAATGACTGAGCACGCAGATCACGCTGCAGTGTATCCACTGCTGTCTTTCTGCAAGCATCCAGCAGCAGAGGAGAGAGTGATATCTGTGATGGGACCCAAGAGTTAAGAGAGACACACATACAGGAAGTACAGGGAGAGAGAGCCCCGCTTAACTGTAGCCCCCGACGACACGAAAGCTGATCAGGATTCAGGATCGTGTAGAGAGATGCAGGCTGGAAAAGATGAAACTCAAAGATCCTGGAGGAGGTTATGCAATGCTAACATCATCGCACACAGACCGTGATATCGCCCACTCGGTCTAAAGAACTACAGACATCCACAGGTTAAACAGACAATCACAAACACCATTAGTTTATGTGTAGTTAAGGGAATGAGTTGGTTAGCAGAAGTCTGAGAAAAAGAAAAGAAAAATGCGGAGTTCAACGTAACTAACGGTGAATGGCAGGTAAGCTGATTGGCCGCAAATGCTAGAAGTTTCTCCTCTAAACCTCACGGTTAGATTCAATATGTAAGGGTTCAGTGAGATCAACTTTGCCAAAAATTTCACAAATGGAGAGGACAGCTGGGATACTCTGTGTTTCTACTTACTGATAAAATAATCCGTATAGTCTTCCACCATCACTGATGGATGGAGCCTGACCCGGACACCTACTGAGGACCAAATGTCAGCGTGATCTCTCTTCTGTAACAGTAACCTGTCATGCTGGTCAGAATAATATTTAATAGCGTAGCTGGAGGAAATCTGTTGCATTTCTTGATGAATTACAAGCTCGATTTAGAGAGAAAATGGGTCGGGTGAAATGTTCAGTGGAGACACGAGGCTCATTATTTATCTCAGCCGACTAAAATTATCCATGGCAGCTAATTTTTTTTGCATTGCAGCAGATGCTGGAAGGTGAGGTGCACATTTAGTTTCAGGGGACAGCAGGCAGCGCAGGTGGTCACGGCTATGAAGAAGCACCTATGGGGTGAGAAATGAGTGCAGTAAAGTGCTGTGTCATGTTCAGAGATAGGAGCGAACACAGGCTAAAACACAGTGAGAGCACAGTATTAACTTCTGCTAATCCGCAACTACAGGCCGAGGTCTTTGTCAGCACGGCGGCTTTAGAGCTCGCCTGTCAACAGGACAGAATTTTAAAAAAGCAGGGGCTCATGTGTTTGGTGCCTCGTCAGAGGTTGGAGTACACAGGCGGCTGCAGAACATGAACCATTCCCGTGTTGAAGCCGCAGCTTCTCGAAGCAGAAGGCTGCCGAGTTCACCTCTCAAGACGACGAAGGATGGGTTTGTCCAAACGTGGAGAGAGGGAGAGCCAGCCTGACACATCTGGCAGTGACTCTGTCCCGTGATGCAGAACAAGAAGAGGATTATGCTAATGTTGATTCCATTTCGGATGATGCTTCTTCTTTTTCGGAGAATCGAGCTACTATGACGTGATGTATCGTTAAACTGTACACATGCACCACACAGAAAAGCATACCTGCTAATTAGTGCAAAGTAAAAGACCAATAAGATAATGCCACTGCAAATGCTCCAAAAGGCACCAACAGCACAAACATGGCAGTGGAGGTGAGGCCCAGCAGACTGTGATCAAATCCAGGTGCCTTGGGAACGCCTGTCAGTCAAAGCGACCACGATCTTCACTTTAGCATCCAGATGCATAAATTTATTTACAAAAAGAAAGAAAGAAAAGAAAATTTAAGCCTGTGTTGATAGTTATGATGTGGGAAAACATCCACTGAGGCTGTAAAGATGCTTTTAATGCTTTAAAGTTTATTTTAACACAGGAGTCTATGGGGATTGACTTGTTTTAGGAGAAAGCCTCAAGTGGCCACTGGAGGAACTGCAGCTTTTGCCACTTCAGCATTGGTGCAATGTTTTTAAATCCTGAAGGTTGCTGCTTGGCATTCACACAAAGCTTTAACTCCTAATATAGCTGCATGTGCCCATACATAGACTCGATGCTTTTATCTGAACCTGCTAAACTCCACTATACCTTCTGTTTAGTTGTCTGCCAACTCCTGACAGAAATATCTGGACCTTTAACTGAGCAGCCAAGTTGCGCTTTCTGTTTTTGTGTGTATGTTTTACAGCTTCACCTGAGCTCTTTTTGCTTTTGTGTGCTTGTTTGCAAAGAGATAAAGGCTAAAGCAAACAGCTAAACACCAGACATGCTGAGCTAAAAAGCTGCAGATCAGGGAACGTGCAGAGTGAACACAACTGATTAGCTTTACACGAAGAACAGCTACACAACATGTTACCGTGTGAGATAATAAAATGACTTTTTAGCAATCTGATCATCGCGTAATCACAGCAGGCAAACAATTAAAACTAAGAAAGCCTTTTGACATTATGATTGTGAACTGATAATACAGGATTTCTGCAAGTCTATTGCAAGTTCATTAACCCGCTGGGTGTCAATTAACCACCCCCCAAGTAGGCTAATGCATTGAATATTTTTCATTTTCTAAGACCAAAGCTGGAAAAAAACTACAAAAAAAGGGATAAAAGCGCAAAATAAACATGATGTTGTATGAGTTTCCCTGTTCAACCGATATTCATACACTTATTTATTCTAATCAAGACAGGCTAAAGCACTCATTGCTGTAATAAATGAGGTTAAATACATTTCAGTGCCCTCCAGCTGGTAAATATCTATGCATATGCAATGCATTACGCTGGCGCCGGCAGATTAACAGCATCTGGTGCAGGCTGGATTAAGAATTGGATATTTATCTGCATTCTAATGGAAAAAGAACTGCCCAGATTTCTAAAGTTACACACTTGTGAGTAAAAGACACTTCCTTAAATGCACCTCGATCGTACCACAAATCCCACAGATAGATAATAAATGAGTGACAAGAACAGCATGTTTTTATTGACTGTGATTCATCAAAATGAGACAATTTCAAAGTAGCTGTTCACATTTAAATATGTTCTTTTCACTGGTTTTCTGAAGTGAAACCGCCTGCTGCGCACGCCTCATAAACAGGAAGCACTCCCCAGGGGCACAGATAAAAGTTTATCTATCCGTTCAGGGCTCCCCAACTGTCCCCCCTGACCTTCTTTAATGTCTCAGGAGGTCGTTTTTCACCTGTCTGGGGGGTCAGGTGTGAGATTTGTGAACAGTATTCTGTAAAGCCCCGGGGCGTTAGCTCCTCACAGCTCTCTTCTCGCCGCTGCAGCTCAGATACCACAAACTTCTACATTGCACTGCAACTTCCTGCTGAGTCAGCGTGATCAACTGTGCCTTTTTTTCCTTCCATCCCTGCATGATGTGTTTCTCAACACAGGATGTCAGCTGCATATTAGACAACCGGTCTGTGCCAAGCCAGCCATGACTACACGTCCGGCTCCTCACTTTGCAGAGTGAAATGCAAGAATTTCTATAATCTTGTGTTTGTGCAACACACACGGTCCCCCGTCCACTTCCTCAAAAAAAGAAAAAAGAAAAGTGATGACAATGCTTTGAACAGCTGGCAAGTAATAATATTTCTTGCTGAGGAAGTTCATTCTGCTTGGAAAGAAGAGATAAAATGCCCACACATTGCTTTTTTGGTGCCCCGTGATCTGTTTTTGTGTCATAGGAACTTTCATGCATTTCTTCCACTTTTCTTAAACCTCCTTACAAATAAAAAAGGAGGAAGAAAGTCATCTTGTAAGCATTTTGTTTTGGTACAAAGCACATAATTGATGGCAGCAGCTCAATCATCTGTATCAACAAGTGACAGTTCAGCCATCAGCCCGCAGAGATGCCCTCATCTCGTATTTACAGCTGCATTTTACCTTCAATATCAAAGCAGACATGCTCTGGCTCAACTGCATTCAAATAAAACAGGGAATTGAACTCAGCCTCACTACTTCTAGAGTCAGGACCATCCCAGACAGCATCCCTGCCCGCTAAGAGGACCCTCCCTCTAATTGCCCCTTTACTGAAAGACAAAGGAGGGGGAGGAGGCCACATTTACTACGCATTCACGAAGCAGAAAGATTAATTAGCCGAATGTTGTCATTATTTTTCCTGACGGACTCCTGAATAAAAGAGTGAGATTTTGTTTTGTTGATGTTGTGGTTCAGGCCCAGCATCACCAATAAAACACACCAGCTTGCAGAGACAGAGATGGGGAGGTGGGATGGAAAGGTGGCACACAGATGCCCCCTATGCTTAACAGCAGCTATGCCCTTCCTGCTGGCTACAAGAAAAATGACCACATATATTTGAATGATATTTATATATATTCTTCTTTAAAAAGGAAGCTGCACATGCTGCTGGTGGTGATGACTTTTTCACTGAACACATTTAAATAAAAAAAAAAATAAAAATGAAGCAGCAGAATAGCGGCACCTTTCATTCCGCATACCTGTGAAGTGGTGCAGCGCCGAGCCTTGCACCCAAAGGCTCAGCACTTGCTGCACCGACAGATTAAGAGAATAATCCTTGTCCGTTGTCATGTTTCCGCCGCCGCCGCCCGGGTTCGCACCCCTCTTTATCGTATAGCTGTACTTGGCTTTAAACGAAGGCATGGATGAGGAAACCGGGGTGGCATTTGGATGTGAGGCGGCTCTCCCCGGCGCGGCTCGCCTCTACCGGTGCCTCTGCTTCGGCTTGACGTCCGTCTCCGCTCCGGGAAGGGAAGGGTCGATGGCTGGTCGGTTCATCCTCGGTGGTGGTGTCGGTGGCGGGTGTACGGAGGCCATGACGAGGATGGCAGCGGGAGCTCGAGCAGAGAAACGCACGGTCGGCTCGTCCTACATCAGCTAGCCCTGCTACATAACCCTTAAAGGGCCAGCGGTCCTTTCCGTGCGAGGGGTTCACGGTGACACATCCCCGTGCTCGTGAAGCCGCTTTATGAATGAGGAACAAAGGGCAGCACGGTGGCGTGTGCGCAGAAAGCGTGCGTAGTGGCCATGGCGGCTCGGGACGGCTACGAGGGGGACGCTGTAACGTAATTACGACGCATTGTGCCTAATATTAGGATATTAATAAAATACTAATAATAACAACAGCAATATTTTGACAAAAGCTAAATAAAAACTATCATTTTAGACGCTGTGGAAAGATTTAATGTTTTTATTTTAATTTTAATTTTACGTTATACAGTATTTGCCAGCAGAAAGCGAAAGAGTGGTTGCTAGGCAACGTAATAACGTTAGCTCTTGAACGAATAACCAAATCAATGCTAATGCTAAAGATTACTTTAACAGAGAATATATAAATAAATACCATATACACTAAAAGTATTATTTGTTGATTTCTTAATGTTTATTTTATTTCAACTGTTGTGATATTAAAATTAAGTCTACATTAAAATTAAATGACCTTAGAAGCAGCGTTGGTCATGACGTCAGTGGAAGGTGGCGCTTATTGGTCACCCCGAAACACCTGATATAAAAAAGTAATATGACAGGATGAAAGTAAGCAGAGGAATAGAGGGTATTAGTGGCAGGGTTATCTGGTAATATGAAGAAAGAACCCCTAAATGCTTAAATCTGAGTTAGAGCTTTAACTTAGATGGAATAAAATATTCAGAAAACTCTGTGGCGAGCCAGTCTGACAAACCCAGTAAGACAGAAATCAGAGCAGGTGAAAGCTATTTTAAAAAGTGTGAACCTTTACATAATTTTTTTTATCCTCATCATCATCTCATATCAGATGTTTAAAAAAAAAGAAGAAGATAACAGTGTGATATGGGGAGGCAGGGAGGGAACAAGGTGTTACGTAGACGCTGAATGTTCTGGCACATTTCTCTGAGGAGCGCAGTATTTTAAGACGAACTGGCCCAGTTCAGAGGTACGAGGGCGAGGAAGCGTCTGACATCTGACATCTTTTAAATCTGTAGATCTTTCTCTAAACGCAAACAGAGGGGGGAATAAACAGACAGCTGGATCACGAGGAGATTCGTGCAACAAAAGAAAATACAATTACGGGTACTGTTAAAGAACGTTCACTGTAGAGGAGACAGGAGGCAAGTTTAACACTTTATTTACACTTTCCTCCAAAACAGCAATCTTTTTGATACACATAAGTGTACTAGCTTAAATCAGTCTATATGTTTATTATGCATCCACAAATAAGGACAAGACTAAAACTCAAATTAACAAGTCATAGCAGGCAATTTCAGCTGTGATTAGGTATGACGAAAGCACAGTAAGTCGTTTCATTTCAAATGAAGCCAAAATAAGTAGTCACATTACTTCTTTAAATCTAATCATGTCACATTTTTGGATATATTTGTTTTAAATGATGGTTTTTGAAAGGTAACAAGTTATCCTTTTGGTTCGCCGAGTCTGTACTATAGTGCACAGTGTACTATAAATTCACTTATATGACCAGTGACAGTAAAAGAACGCTTGCTTTTGCTGACTTTTGTATTGCCTGGGAGCTTTGGAGATGTCACCATAGTAAAGTGAAATTCACATTATATTCAGAGTCCAGCCAGAACATCATACATCTGATACAGAAATTCCTCTACAACATGGCGATTTAACTGTAAAATTAATATGAATGATTCATATGAATTAATAGGAATGATCAGCAAACAGTTGGCAACGAGTTAATGCTGAGTCCCTACTGCAAAGAGATGTGCAACAATACAGACTGATGCAACAAGGCGGAGCTTGTCAGCAACAAATTTTCATTATTACCACCTAGAAGTTGCGTGCTATGTATTAGCCTTTAACCATTTGCTTACTGACTCAGACTTGCTGCAATATCTTGGCAATCTGTCTGCATTTCTAAGTTAGACAGTAATTAATTTCAATAATATTTAGTTTTATTTATACAGTGCTAAATCACAACAGTAGTTGCCTCAAGGCATTTTATATTGCAAGGTAAAGATTCTACAATAGTACCAAGAAAACAGAGAGAATCCCAACAATCATATGACGCCCTATGAGCAAGCTCTTTGGCAACGGTGGGAAGGAAAAACTCACTTTTAACAGGAAGAAACCTCCAGCAGAACTAAGGTCAGGGAGGGGGGCCATTGCTGCAACCGGTGGGGTAAGAGGAGGAAGACAGGTCACAGAGTGATTGATATCAGTTGAAGTTGGACCACAATTGTTTGGAGACAGGTTGTCTCACACCAGACAACCTGTGCACTCCCAGTTGCAGTTGTACATGGTTGCACAAAAGTTGAGGGAGTTGCATGCTCAACCTGTAGGCAACCAACTGATTGCAGCAACTACTTGCAATTGGTCTCAGGCACCAATAAAGTCCAATGCAATATATATGTATATATATATATATATATGTGTGTGTGTGTGTGTGTGTGTGGATGTTGGTTCTCAGCCTTTCAGTAATCAGATACACATTTGTTTAATTCAGTGCGATGCTAAGAAATATTTCTCTCCCTTTTAGAGACCGCCTGAGTGGATTACTACTGTTTGTGGAAATGTCAGCATTTTCCATCTGTGTAGCAGTTTTAGCCATCATACCACGAATAGTTTCACAAACAGCATCACTGTTTTAACCACGTTTGCTGGTTTGCCTCTGTGGGCACTCAGCAGATTGCTTTGTCCTGTCAGGTTTTCACAAGGTTGCATTATCTTTGCATTTCACTGCAACTATAGGCATGTTGTCTGGTAGAGAGTAAATTAAAATTTCTAAAACACAGCCAAGTGCTGTCCTGAATAGTGGATAATGGATTTCAGGGTAAATTGGTTTTAAAAAAACAGAACCAGTGATATGGTTGTGAATCATGTGTTTCTATCACAAATGTAAGAAGACGTTTCACCCGTATCCTGTATTTACACACTGAAATAAGATACATACAAAGTGTTGGTGAAATGCTTCTAGCATTTTTCTTCTTCCTTCCTCCATGTTTCATCACAGCTCTGTTGAAACCTTTTCTTGCATCTCTTCCTGCCCTCGGGGCTTAAGATAGACTAACATGCTTAGGAAAAGGTTCAGAGAAGAAGAAAGAACAAAACACCAAACATTGTGGTTTTTCTTACATGGATCTATACATGGAAAATGAGCAAATCATGGAAAATCAAGCATTATGTTGTTAAATACATGCAATATAATCTACTAAAGAAATAAAGCGCTGTTTTACTCTAGCACTGGGCTTTGGGAGAACGAGCAGACAAGACAGCAAAGACTCAGTGAGGACATTGTGTGGTTTGCTAAGCAAATGTCAACCTCTGTTTCCACGGGATGCTTGACGTTTCAAACAACATCCACCACAAGTGCACATTTTTCCACCATGAAATTCCCCAGAAAGAATATTTTCCCCCTTGGTTATGTCATAGCAACACAGCCAGAATCCAGTCCATCTCTATAACAGGGTTCACATCAGATGAACATAAATGATCAAATAAATATTTAAATATTTAACTCTCTAAACAATCCTAAACAGGATCCCAAAAGCAGAATAAAATGAGCTATGTCAAAACTAAAATACATTTAATAACAAATGAAAACACTGATTTGCAAACACTGCAATCCTAAAATTGAACTTCTGATATAGAAAGGGTGAAGTATTAGTTCAGTTAGAAAAATATATTTGCTGTTTTCTCCCTACTATGGGCATAGGCATTATAAAAACAGCATATAACACAGCATGGAAAAAGAAGTGGTGGAAATGGGTTGCAAAGGGGCTTGCAGTAGTCCAGCAACTGTGATGTTTGCTTTGAGAGTATTGGTGGAGGAGTGTAGCGAAGGTCACAAGGAACTGCTGTGTGGTTTTGTGGATCTGGAGAAATATGATAAGGAAGGACCTGTGGTACTGCATGAAGAAGTCAGGGTGGTCAAACAGCATGCAGGACCATCCAAGGTGCAGGGCATGGATGACAACAGTGAGACAGTGGCTAAGAATGACAGATGGGTTCAAGGTGGGGGTGGGATTACATCAGGGATCGGCTCTTAGACACTTCTTGTCTGCAGCAGTGATGGACAGACTGACAGATGAGATCAAGCAGGAGTCACTGGTATGGTGTTCACACATGGCACTGTGATGGGTACTGAGAATATTAATCACAGTATTGATCCAGAGGTATGTGCTGGAGAGAAGAGGCATGAAAGTCAATAAAAAGAAAATAGAATACATGTGTGGGTCACATTATAAATTTGTTGCTACTAGAAAAGTCAAATTTTAGATCAAAGTGGAGGTCAAAAAGGTCAGACGGAGATAATATGATACCGTTTCAGTACAGTTGAGGAAGAACATTCGCACTCACCCTCATTTGCGTCATTTTAACCAGAATTCAAGTGTATTTTAGTCACTTCTGTTTTCGGTTAAGAGCGTTGGTCCTGGATCTGACTTAGCAGCAAACCATGAACACTAGAGTCAACTGACAATTTTAAGCATCAGCTTCAGTTTTGGTGACCCAAATATTAGCATTTTTACTACATTTATTTCAGAAGACTGCAGAGCAGTCAGTACAAAGTTAATCAGTCTCGGGAGGTTGCCCTTGTTTATCTGTTTTTATCCTTCCTTATTATACTGTGGTGGATTTTATGGTAAATTTACTGCGGATGCTCTTTTTCTCTTTTTCTGTTGATCCTGCTGACCGATGTGAGGGTCAGCTCTATGTGGGCAGACGGGCTATGACGGTGCAGAGAAATCAGTGGGTCCAGGAGTGGGATGAAAGAGTCCTTTGACTCTCCCACAGCTTTGGCCGCATCTTTGAATTGATCTGTCCTGGAGCATGAATCTAAGAACAAAAAGAGTCTCGCCTTTTAGTTTGCTGTCAGCTAATAACCACAAACACCAGCTGGGAAAAATAATTCTGCTTTACCCCCGAGACACCCCAATTTTGTTTACTGAAGGAACACATGAAAAACAAGCAAGTTATTAACATATCAAATGCAGTCTGAGTCGTGCTGATTTAATGAACTGCCGGCTGGATGCTAAAATAAAGGTCAAACCCGAATTAGGTCAGAACCACGATTAATGAGTCTCACTGAATAGGGCAGCAGACAGATTAAAATGTCATGTTAAACATCTCCTGTCTTTGAAGAACTTCCTCAATTATAAATCTGCCTGCTCTAATCAGAGTGATGATTCCTCCTGTTGGCCAGTAGGTGGATTCCTTCTCCCATTTTTCAAAGCGATCCTTACTTGTAGTTTTCCATAAGAGGGCTGCTGGGTTTTTTCTCTCCTTTTTCCAA